TGTTTGTTTATTCTGAAAGAATATCTAGAAGTTTATAGTTTGCCTTTGATAATCATTTCCGATTATAGAGCTCAATTTGTATTCGAATTCTGGAAGTATACCTATAAGTGTTTGGGAGTATCCACTAGACTCTCTACTGCTTATCATTCTGAAACTGATGGATAAATTAAAAGAGTTAATATGATATTAGAGCAATATCTCAGATTATATGTAGTTTATCTGTAAGATGATTAAGTAAAGTAATTTTCATTTATTGAATTCTTTATCAACAATATTGATCCAAGAATACCCAAATGATTCTGTTTTTCTTTAATTACGGTTTTCATTTCCATTTGGATTTTGAGCCTGCCCTATCTAAAAGCAATTATTCTATTATAAGAGATACCGAGGAATTTGTTTCCAAAATAGAGATAATCTCCTTATATCTAAAGATAAAATTGATTACTAGTCAAGCCCAATACTCGAAGAATATTAATTCTTATTATTCCCCTATTTACTGATATACTCCTGGTAACCTGATCTAGCTAAATGCCAGAAACATCAAAACCCTATATTTATAGAAGAAGTTTGATTAGAAGAATCTTAATTTATTCAAGATTCTAAGCCTAATAAGCTTTTATATCTATAAATTGGAACTCTTTGTTTCTATAAGGATTCACTTTGTTTTTTATATCAATCTGTTATATCTTATATATAATGATTTTATCTCTAAACAATATAACCCGTTACCATTATTTGTAGAAATCAATAGCTTAGAGTATTTCGAAGCTATCAAGATTCTGAATTCCTATTAGAAAAGAAGAGATTGTAGAGGATCTCGTTTGAAGTATACCATTTGCTGGGTTGACTATAATGAGCTAACCAAAGAATCTACTAGTTATTTGGAAAATACATAGAAAACTAATCTATAACTTTTACTATAAATATTCTGATAAATTTAAATCTGCCTGACCTGAATTGCCTACTTGTGAAATTGTAAATCGTAACTTACTACCTTATCAGAACTTAATCTAAAAAAGGAGGGTAATGTTATGGTATAGATACACATAACCAATAAGCAATAAGCTAGGCTTTGTTAGGCTAGCTTATAAGTGAAAATTCTGTATATCTTTATATTGGAAGATTCTATATCATAGCTCTTCGAGCTACATCTTAGTCTACACCCTGTACCTATTGTTCTTAGCACTGTCGAATATAGATTCCTGATCCCGCCTGCCTGCCCCGTGACACTAGGCCTATTTCTATCCAGATAGCCTTTAGTAATCTCATTATAATCCGATCTATTCTTGGAGATATATTCAAGACTTCTATAGTATTACATTCCATTTCCTCTATAGAGATGGGCTTTTCTTAGAGTAGTTTTTTCTTACTTTAATTGTGTCCGGAGTTTGGGAGATCGTCGATAGCTTTGAAGCACTGTAGAATCTCCGAGTATAGCAGCTTAGCCTTTTCTTCATTCGATATAGCAATATGTTTGCCTATTATAATCGATAAAGAGCAATATATAAAGCTCAGATCATACTATCCGATCACTCTATACAGATCTCAATCTGATTTCATCTCATTAAGGAATTTCCTCCAATATTCTCTTTTAGCCTATCATATATATAATAAGAATACTCTGCATTTTATAAAATAATCGCTATTAATTATACGGCTTCGAAAATATATATCTCGAGTAATCATACAATTGGGTGTTCACCAGGAGGTCGATTTTCCTATCTTCCGATTTAATTTTCCTATCATTTTGATTACTTGTTATAATATCTTTTATATATTTTCGACAGCTTGATTTAGAGCTATACTTATGACTACTATCTGTATCTCCCATTTGATTCCTATTATATTAACTGATATCATTTTTTGAAACAGAAATAGATCTTCTTCCCTAATGTAATATACATATTAAGATCTCGATGCTGAGCTTGCTTTTTGTATAATAATAAGAAGAGTATTATAATCAGATCTATAATACATATCAGTCCTTACTTTTATATATATTCCTAAGATATTAAAAAAAACTAGATCAATCATGTATCCTATTTTGTATATCACTTAACCCAGGATATTTATAAACTTGAGATCTTTATCACTAGATCATTCTGTGAGCCAATTGTTATCATGTGCTATACTTATATTTAGCTTGAATAATATATGGTGAGCATTGAAGTCTTCCTCAATGATTGTATCCCTAGTTGGTATTAGATCAAGAATCATCTCTAGAACTCTTAAGGTATTCAGTTCTCTATATAGGTTTAATAGTTTAATTCTGTTTATAGAAAGCCATATATAGTCTCTATACTCCTTTCCTACTAATTATAGCATTTGTAATCTAGTCTCAGTTCTGATATATGTCATTACTCGTAGGCGTCCCTGCCCTTCCTTACACGTCCCGCTTACCCTCCAGGAGGTCACTGGGGACTAGATAATGAATAAGGCATTAAGTAAATATCGATATACGAAAAAAACTTAATTATATTAAGGAAAAGTATTTACTAAATAAGAGGTTCTTGATATATTATCTCAACAAAAGGTTGATATTCAGATTTAATATAATGAATATCAAAAAGAGAGGAATTCTAATAGAGAAACATTTTCTAATCGATATTATAGTAAGTATGGAAAGACTGGGCATAATATAAGAATTTGTCAAAATGATTTAATAGATTCTAGATTATTAGAATCTTTATAGTTTCAATTAATTAATTTAATTATTATTGAATAATATGAGTTTGAAAATATGAATTGAGGTAAAAGTAGTCCACTCGATGATATGGTCCACTCGATGATAAATCACGTTACCCATAATAGACTGAAACACTTCACACCAACAATTACTCTCGTGTCAACCCAGCTTCAGTAAAGCAATAGGTACTCTTGTTATCTACCTATTCACATTTATTTCCAGACTTTCATCTTGTGAATGGCAAAGGTTTTAAATAAACTCCAGTGTCAAGTCAAATCAAGTCAAACCAGACGTCCACCATGTAAGATCAACTTATCTTATATTACCTATTCAAAGTCCTTTAGAAAATTCTCTGACCTGAAGCCTAGGGAACAAGAAAAGGCTTTTGTAGCCTTGAAGGTTGAAGTCTCATCAAGTACATCAGAGAATGAGCAATTTTCAATCACAGCTACGTAAGAATCATTCTCATCCAGATATTTATATAGGCGACAGCTAACTCTTTTTCCCAATCCAGATCCTTTGATGACTCGAAATCGGGCAATCATACAATCACAGATTTGAGTTCAGAAATGCCGAGCATTGCAGACGGGGGTCTCAGTCAAGAAACAATCACAGAGCTTATAAGAACCAGAGCTGTTCCGGCAACAACTTTCTTATGTTTTTCTCATTTGCCTTTGGAACTTCGATACAAGATTTGGCGCCACTCTTTTCCACGACAACATCTCATTTTGAGCGAATACTCCTTCATGAGACCCCTATCGTCTCCCTTCCGACACATGCCTTCATCTTTATTTCGTACCCATGTCAACCTCCCCATGGCATCTGCAACCCGAGAGAGCCGAGCTGAAACTTTGAAGCATTATTATGCACTCTATCAAGAAAATTACAGATATCCAAGAACAACGTCTTCTAGTGCCTTTCAGGTAGCGGTTTCCGGATCCAATGACTACTTGAGTGGTGCAACAGATTTGCTATTACCACGTGTAATGTACTTCAACCCGAACATCGACTGTCTCACCCTAATGTACTGGGATGTTGAAGCTATATCTTCCGATCTCCACGATATATTTCCACCATACAATCAGGAAATTGTGAGATGTCTCGAGAGTATTCGGGAGGTCAGGGTGTATCACGTAAAATTGGGAAACCTCAGGCTTGACTATACAGGGCTTAACTATACAATTGATGTGGTTAGTCTGTTAAATATTATTAAGCGTTTCAAGAATCTTCAACGTATTTACTTGATCATGCACAAGTACGCAAGAGTTCACATTGACGACCAATTACATAGAGACTTTACCAACAGGCGGATGAAGGAGTATTGGACTGGACAGGCGGAACTAAAAGTTGTATGGGGAAAGGAGGACGAGAATGGCGTATTGGTTGAGTTAAAATGAAAGAGGAACCTGGTGGAATGGCAAAAAGAGGAGAGCATGAGATATAGTTCATTCATTGATAATTTGAATGAGATTGAGATTTATTACAGGATGATGACGGTTTGTCAAAAAGCTTTCTGTAGCTTGATAGTTTGGTCCAGGTGACTGAGCTTTATAGATTGTTCTTTAGTTTGCTATCATTGGCAAAATCAAGCAGCAAACAATCAAACAATTGGGAATCTACTATTGCTTCATTTCTGATCTATAAAATGAGATTGAATTCCCAAATTCCATAAAGTCTTGTAAAATTTGAAAAGTATCTTTCGAGAAAAGTGAATCTATAGGGCCATTCTATATTTGTGAATCAATAAATTCTGTAAATTTAAGGAATAGACGTTGAAATTACAACCTTGGAAGTATCTAAAAATACCTAGTACCTAGGTAACTCATTATCCACCCTCTTTGGAAGTCTTATTGATAGGTCAGCTTTGTTAATTCATGGTAATATGATATGGTGAATTAGATCCGAGCAATGTTCTTGATGCATCTATCAATGTCTTTGAGAGCCACATGATTAATATACAGCTTCCCGAGGTCATTTACTAATGGTAATACGGTATGGTGAATTGTATTAGGGCAATGTTTTGATACAGCTGCCGATTAGCCGAGATCAATATTTCATTATATGAACGTTCACTTCGCACAACCTTTTCGAACAACACAGTCTCGAGAATACAATCAACAACTACTTCATTGTAAAGACCTTTCTCCTCTACACAACAGTTTCGAACAATACTTCTTCGAGAAATATACTCAACAACCATCACACACCCAACAACCAACAACCATCATACAACCAACAAACTCACTCAATCAACAATTACGGATCATAGTAACACCATGTAAGGAACACTTCCCAATAAGTTGAATGATAACTAATGGTTCTTTCTCAAAGGACTCCAAAACGATCATCCGGCAGTAAAGCCAAGAAGTCCAAGAAGTCACAAAGCACAAAGGTTCAAACCGAAAGACCTCTAGCTAAGACATCTCAAGCCCCTCTAGCTAAGACGTCTCAAGCCGTGAAGAAACCATGGGGTGTCGACAAAGGAACCCAAACGACTGGTCCACCTAAACTCACAGAGTTCACACCCTTCCCCAGACTACCACTCGAAGTGCAACGACAAATCTGGCGCTCCAGTTTCGAACCCACAAAAGTCGAGCTCCGATGTGGAGTCGTACGAACCATCCCACGCGGCCAGTACGTTCCCTACGATTATCCGTACGAGCAACGTTCTAGAGATCGTCTCATCTGCATGCAACACAAGACTCCGCCTACCAGCAGAATCCCCATTGCCTTTGTCAATCGAGAAAGTCGCGCCGAGACACTCCGCCACTACGTTCGTCTCTACCAGGATCTTCATACACCCGAGCACGGCCCAAATCTTGTGTACCCGTGTACGCTCTATTTCAACCCGGAGATCGATACCCCCATCTTCTCCGCAAACAAGACGCAATACACGTTTGACAAAATACATCTCTCCCTGGAGAGACTATTTCCTGCACACGACCCAGTTGCCGTCGAAACCATGAAAAGCATCCGCAAAATCGAGATCGAGTTCGCAGGATCATACGAATCCAATCGCGATTCATACGATCTCGATTCCTGTCGCGATGCCCTAGCGATGTTTGAGAATCTGGAAATCGTGCAGATATTGAGTACCAACGCGCGTCCCAATCCCTCGTTCGACGCGCATTCCTTCATATCCCAATATTACTCCCGCGAGGGAAATGGCCCGAGCTGGAATAGGAAAACTCCAGTGCTGGTGCGCTTCTGGTCTCCGCCGGATTGGCTTTTCAACATCAACAAATCGAGCGATCCTGAGGCGGTGGCTCAAAGGTTACGCTGGCGTGAAGAGCAAGCTTCCAGATAATAAACCTTTGATTGCTTCTGTGTGAATTGAGAACTGGATGGCGCATCGAGGATGCAGGGTGTAGATGTTACATTTCAGGACCAGCAAGAAACGATCTCGGGTTGACTTTCAGTTCTTTGCAGAAGAAGCTGTTTCTGGATACCATGTAATAAAATACATATCTCAACTCATGTTCCACTGTGAAAAAGAGCCTTGCAATAGTTTTATGTGCACACTAATGCAGATACCAAAGAATCAAAACAATCAACTTACTCACAAACAATAAACTCACCACTGGAAATCTTAAAGTCACTCTCCATCCCACCATTATCTTTTCTCCGTCTTCTGCATTGCCCCTCTCAGTCTCTTGTCACTCCCCACATCATCTCTCATCAATCTAACCATCAATGCTCACCATCTCATCTTCTCTTCTCCCAGTATATTCCGTTTAATTTTCCACTTCAGTAAACACATTCAGTACCTCCTTTCTCTTTCTTTCCACATCATCTCCTATTCTTTCATGATTCTGTAACTATTGTGTAGTTAACCTTCGGCTTCATACCCAACGTAAACCCCAACCATCTCCAATAAACCACACCACAAACATCTAATCCTCCCATCTTTCAATTCACTGTCATAGAGGGCACCGGAGCAACAGGTTGAATTCAACTCTCCCACCACATCATTCATCTACACAACAACATTTCTCACTCTTCGCTTACCATCTCACAAACCCCAAAGTGAGTTAGCAGACCCTTTGAGCCTTTACCTTTACGATTTACTACATCTACCACTCTCTCACTTTTCCAAAACTCTAGCACCTCCAGCACCTCCAGCACCTCCATGCAAACCCAGCACAATTTGCCAAACTTACAATACTATGAACTTCTCATTCCCCCATTCTCTCAATTCTCAACCATCACCCACCCCTCTCACAGTTCCTCACTCACATACCACAACTTCTTGATTCAAAAGAAATTGCGTAACTGTGTAGGAATACACTCCAAAAACTCACCCACCAGTCCAGAAAATGAACTCTCCTTACCTCCTACAGAATCATGAAATCATCCTCAGACTCTCCATCCAGATCCCCATCTCCGTGCACATACGTAGCATCTCCATCTACCCCTAGACCTCTCAATGCTCAGTGAGTTTCGGTTTCCCGTCTCTTCTCTGCTCGCGGAAATGTGTGAAAGTATTGATAATAGGCCACATCTTCTCCACCTTCACCTTTGATATATCCCTACCTACCTTCTGAAATGCACTTCACTTAACCTCCTATCTCGACTTTCCTCTTCCCCACTTCCCTACCACCAACAAACAACCAATAAGCCAACTAAGCACCAAACAAACCTATCAAACCCCCCGACCCTCCAACCCCCAAACCTCAACTCGCATCTATCACAAGATGCCATCCATCACATTAATTACCTACGTAACAAACCATCTACCACAGCACACCAACCATATCACATACAATCACCACCCACAAACCCACAAACCCACAACATTCTCCCCTCCTCTCCTCCCCCCTCCACCAATCCTAGCAACCCAGCCCAATCCTATCCACCCGTTCCAAAAAGAAACCACCCCAAACCACCCAAACAACCATCCTATCCTCATAACGCAATCATTCCCCCTACCATTAGCACTAGCCCCAAGATTACGAATCCGCCACTTGGAGTGGCGATTTCTAGCGAGTTCTCGCCCGTCCATTCATTTATCCATCCATCCATCCATATCAAGTATCCTAGAAATAAACATTCTCTCCTCCGCATTCTTAGGGCCCAAAGACCTATTTTTTTTTTGAAAATCGCGGGAAGGGAAATGGGATGGGGATAGATGGAGTAAATTTTACATGTAATCTTACTTTATAAGTGAGCAAGAAGAGAAATGGAATGGTAATCTTATATGCGGAGAATGCATTGCTGTAGATATGTACTAGGTAGGTATATACGAATCCCACGTACCCGCATCGCACTCTTAGATTACAACGAGCATGTGTACATAGACGTCCAAGAAATAGAAATAAAAATAAACCATATTCGTACGTACTGGATTAACTTTACCTACTAGCCCACCAGCCCACGATCCACCACCAGACTACACTAAGGTTATGGACACTAGGTAGGTACTTATAGGTAAGTCCTCACCACGCTATTCGCCGGAGAAAAAACAGGCGGAATTTGACAATTTAAATCTCTATTAAAATCTTCTAATTTAATTGAATAATAAATCATTTACAAATGATTTATTAAATCATTTACAAATGATTTATATAAATTTAAAAAGATCAAAAGAAATTTTAGCCCCTTTTTGTTTAGATAATGTTTCGATATTTTATTTTGTATAATATTGAAGGAAAGTAATTGAATGATATTGTATCATAGATGTGGTCGAATCCCGCCTGTTTTTTCTCCTGCGAATAGCCACGTATTCCAGTCACGTGAACACATCAAATCCAGATATTCCACCTTCCACTCCTAGATTATTCTTGCTCTTTCCTTCCGTCTCCATTTAACTATCGTACCTATCCTTCTCTTCTCGAGATTTGTTGCATATCTTGTGGCATATTTGGAAAGATTTTTTAAACAATATACTCGTAGAACTATATTTGTTGACTAAATGAATGTTTACCGAATGCCAACCATACTCATCCAAGCTTAACCTTATACTTATACTTGTATTCTTATAAAATAAGCAGATATGTCGTGTCGCTGAGGAAAAATCCTAGGTCAAGGGTAAGATTGATCAGCTCTTTTTCATTTATTCTGTGGTTTATCATTGTGGAGTTGTAGTATAGGTAATAGGTATATACATTTCTATCTAGCATTTTCTGCATATTTCTAGTCGCATGTATGTATGCACGAGGAGGGAGTTGAATTATTAGGCTTGTAGATGGTAGATAGGATTACGAATTGGGATTTCAGGAAAAGTATACTGGTATAATGAAAGAATTGTTGAGTGGATGAATGAATGGGCAATCCATCCATCGTATAGGTAACCTCACGGTATAGGTCACGCGAGTGTCCTGAATGCGGCGGGGGTGAAATGGAATTGGAAGGTTTATGTACCTAGGAAGACCGTAAGAAGTGAGATTTGATTTGAATTTCCCGATGAGGAGGGTGTGTTAAGTATGGCCCGGGTTTCTTTTGAGTTTTTGGGCTTGTATTTTGCACTTCAACAGAGGTAAAAGAATCAATAGGGAAGCGTTTATTATCCAGGTAGGCTCTAGGTACCTACTCGAGTGTATCTATCCGTCATTAGAAAATTCGATACCCGAAGTAATGCCCAATGACTCCTCTTCCAAGCTCCAAAACAAGAGAATAAGAGAATAAGAAAACATGAAAACTTTATTAAATACCTATCTAGGTCTCTACCTACCTAAGGAACTGGTGAAGATGGGATTGTAAGATTAACCGCGTTGAATCTCGGTACGTACAGTGTACCTTCCAGGTCGCGAAATTATATGTCTGAGATGTTGTCTGGGTAGTGTTTATTAGGTTACTAGGTATGATGATATGGTATATTCATCTATTCACCGTGAAAATAATTTTTGCATAGGAACATAGTATAGGTATGTATATGCTATGTCTCAACGCACCAACCTTCCATCATTCCAAAGTTATATTTGTTTCCATCAGAATCAAAATCCGACCTGGACTTCACCGAACTCAACTGCACTGGGTCAGACTGAACCCAAAAGAGTCCGGAGAAACCCTATTGGGAGCGGAGACCCCGCGATGGAAGAATGGAATTCGGATGGACTGAAGAAAATGTGGATGAGAGAGAAGTTTTCAGGAAGATGGAGACTTCTGGACTCTTTTGATATTTATCAATGGCATGCATGTATGTAAGATCTTATGTATTCATTGAGGACGGTCTCGATTCATGAGGAGGTAGTTAGGGGTCGATACCAGATTCAAGCTCATTGGTCATTGATCATCTAGTGAGCCCGCCGGGAACGAGAATCATTGATTGGAGAGATGGAAAGTTCCATATCTCCAAGAGCCAACTGGCCGAGGGCCAAGGTGTACTTCGTAAGCACGGGATGTTGGAGATCGGGGTTTGGAGGAAGATTAGTCCAATGGATTTGAGATTGATACTCACGTACTCACGTATTGCTATTATCCTGTCTCGAGCTTGTTACCTATTTAGTACCTGTCGATGGATTGTGGTAGGAATTGAATGAGGAGGAAGCAATTCGCCACGGTTGTCACGGCGTCGAATCCTTTTGGGAAAAATTATATCTCCGTACATAGGATAGGTACTCGAGTACTAGATAACCTCAGTGGGGACAGATACAGCAATCTGTAAAATAGAATAAGCAGAGTCCCATTCTGAAGCATTCCAGCTTTTGGCTATTATATGTATGCTTGTGTAACATACTATGTCTCATGTACCTCTCTACGGAGTATACTCTGCTTTTCTATTCCTATTCACTACAATCCCAAGCCCACCCCTCATCCTCGGTTCTACATCGCCAGAATCGGCAAATCCTTCTCTCCTCCTGCCTCTCCATCCTCGCATCTTCCAGAACTTCACAAACTCCCATCTGCCGATCCATCACTTTCTTTCGCAGAAATGTTTCATTAGGTCCCGTTGGAAGTGGAGATCTCATGCCGTTTTGGGGTCGTGGTGCATGGGGTGGTAAAATTCTCCCACAGGGAAATACGAGATGAAACGAGCTATTGTTTGTAATTTTTGTGGATCCTTGTAGGGATGGGATTGGATGGAAATTATGGAGTGGTCCTGAGTATGGAATAATTCATCTCATATGTTCACGTTTACCTGTCTAGGTATCTAGTTTGTAACTCTATAGAGGTAATAAATGATAGGTGTTGATATGGTAGTTGTCGTTAAAGTAAGAATACCAACAAAACCATTCCTTCCCATTCCAATCATCTACAAACCGCAGGCACAAAAATCCCCAAGGCTGAATAAATGAAACCTATTTTCAGAACTCGCCTGTCCTTCGCCCCTCGTGTAACATTTTCGTACCTACCTTTAATTTATTTATACCTCATTGTGCATATGCATGCCGAGGAGAATAAATCGATGCATTTGCATTTGCATTTGCATATGGCGTAAGCCCTCCATTCACAAGGCTTAATCACCCCCCAAAGAATTGGAAAAAGGGGCACCCAGTATTAAACTTTTCACGTGCCAAGAAGCCTCCCCTGACGTGGATGGTCTAGAGTGGCCCGACCCGCAGGTAGAGTACGGATGGAGTATGCATGTGTGCGTAATTAATTACTCAGCCCCTACCTAGTCTCCTAGCGTGTGAAGTTTGCACGAACTCTTTTTTTGGGGAGGGGAGGGGAGGGGATGATCAACGGTTTGTGTCTGTCTAGGTAGTTTGTGGTAAATAGTAAGTAGTAGGTTAGTAACTGACTAGTGTATGTAGTACAAAATACGGTACGGGAGTGTCTAAAGAAGTGGAGAGTTGGAGAAATTGTAGACTAATTCCCCAAATGAGACTTGATTGACAGACTAACTGACTGACTGTGAAGGGAAACCAGAAAAAAGGATGATTCATGAGGGAGTGACATGTTTGACATGTTCATGGCGTAAGAATCCTTGAAAATCGGTTGCAGATGGTGAAAAGGTACTGGACGCAGGGCTCTGGATGGAGGGTGGCGTTTTGAGAGGCGAGTGGCGTTTTAAGGTACGCCTATCATTGATGAGATTGATGGATCGTGTACATGATATCGTCGGTACCTTTTCTTTTTTCGCGTGTGCAGATTCTGTAACGACTTTGTAACACGATATCAGGGGGAGAATGCTTGGAAAAGGTTATTGGGCTTTTTGTTATAGATGCGGGATGGGGTAAAGGAGAGTAGAGGAGAGGGTAGAGGGTGAGTTAGAGAGCAATGAGTATCTAGATAAAGAGTAAGGACTATAAACTATAGACTATAAACTATAGATTATAGATTATAGATTATAGATTATAGAATATCTTCACTTATACCGTATTTTGACCCCCAAGCTGACCTCAAATCTCGCTTCCTATAATCAAAAAGAAGCCTTTTAATTCACAATCACTCCCTAATTAGTTGATACACGCGATGAAGAATGTATAGAAGCAGGGGAATTATATACATCTCCACAATTATCCATGTCCCCCGGGGGCTTAATTACGGTATGCTAAGCTCATAAGCTGACTTTTTTCAAGGTTAGATAGTATTCACGAGTATTCGTGCCATTGACCATCAACCATTAATCATTTCTCATTGACCCTCTCGACCTCTCGACCCTCGCTCTTTCCCTTCCACACCTTCCACCTTTCAATGGTCCCTATCTAATCTCTCAGGGGTTCAAAGCAAGCATTACTGCACATTTCTTTTTTTAAATCCATCCTTAAACCTCCGAAATACATCTTTTTCATCCAAACACATCCATTTGGTCTGTTGTCAGACTCTCTCTCTCCCTCTCTCTCTCTGAGCCACCGAAGATTCAATACGGAAGTCTTCATTCATTCATTTCATCCGAATCGGAATAAAAAAGAAGAAGAGATCCAGTTTTATTTTCAAACACTCCCTCCTTTACCATCCATCCATCCATCCATCCATCCATTTAATCTACAACCTTACATGACTCTCGCTCATTGACTAAGATCTTCCCCAATTCTTTTCCAAGCTCCAGCATTTCATAGCAGAGTCAAGAACCGGGTTAACTTGCGAACCCATTCACATATCGAGTCATATACTACATATTAACCAGGTATTTCGAGGATACGAAGCAAATCTGATTCACTTTGTCAAGTCCGTTCATTCGTTCATACCAGACATACGCATAACCGAATCTGGACCTTTCCTTTACAAACACCATCTACCCACAATTTTTGATACCCACCGTGGCATCCATACACTCTTTTCTCCAATCATTCTAGACTCCTATTTCGAGTCGACCCAACCTTTCAAGCCTTAAAGAATTTCCACAAAACCGACATCATGGCCGACGATTTTGGGGGTCATGACCCATTAACTTCCTCAACTCTTCCTCACGACAATCCCAATCCAACCGTTATTCATCCAAATCCTGAGAAGATTACTCCTAGTAGACAGAGCACGATGAGGTCTAAGGGTGGATTTGAAGCACATGCTAGTGGAGCGACCACTCCAAGTAGTTTCAAGAGGCAAAGCAGACATGATTTAAATTTGGACGATTATTTTGTATGTTTATATCCTTCATCATTGCTTCCAGTCAGATCTTCTACCTTTCATCTGATTCACCCCAAACTCAACCCTCCATAAACCTCTCAATATGACTAACAACCTCTTCATCAATAGGTCGGACCAAGAAACCTCGATGCTCATTCCAAACTTCCATATTTTATGCGCCTTCATGGATCCGTTATTCCTCGAATGATAGTACCTCTTTTCTGGATCGCATGTTGGTCTACTTTAATTACATGTATTTCGAAATTTTCGGGTACAGAATTGGCTGTTAATACCTTACTTTTGACGGTCCTTGGTTTTGTTATTTCTTTGGCATTAAGTTTCAAGAGTACCACTGCTTATGAACGGTTGGTTCCCCTCTTTCATTTCTTCCCCTTTCTGCATGGGAACTTTGCATCAAAAAATTCGAGCGCAGCGAGCTAAAAGGGGGTTTGGGGGCTTGCCCCCCATATATGATACCATCTTACCAGTCAATGTTAGACATTGAAGAGTCAAGTCTCTTTGAAGTGACGCTCCGCTGGCTCTCCGAGGGCCATTGCCATGGAGGCAGACCAAAATTATCAAAACATTGTTATAGAGCCTTAACTAACATAAAAAATAGTTATTTCCGATGGACGTAAAGCATGGGCATCTCTCTCGGTCCAATCCCGCAACCTAGCTCGATTCATCTGGGTCAACATCCAAGAACGTGAAGGTGACATGGGAAAAGAAGATCTTCTCGCAAAAGTAACGGGTATCAATCTCGTTCTTACCTTTGCTGTTGCTCTCAAACATAAACTTCGTTTCGAACCATATGCCCATTATGCCGAGATCTCTCCGCTTTAACCCATCATCTCAATACTTATGCTCAATCGGCCACTACTCCCGAAGTCCTCATCGAGAAAAAGAGAACGCCGTGGAAGCGCACTGGTGAATACCTCGGTCTCAGTTTCGCTGCTAGTAACCCCCGAAAAGCCATCAAGAGATCCAGCAAGCCAGTTGGAAATCTTCCCAATGAAGTTCTCACTTACCTAAACTCCTACGTCGAAGGAACCATCCGCAACGGCACTCTCGATTCTCCCGTCGTCTTGGGTCAAATTCTCGGCTGTATCAACGCTCTCACCGATTGTTCTGCTGCCGCTGAACGTGTTCTCCAAACTCCTCTCCCCATCGGCTATAACATTCTCATTTCCCAAATCGTCTACCTTTACGTCTATCTTCTCCCCTTCCAACTTTATGCTTCTCTCCAATGGATTACCATCCCAGGAACCATTGCCGCCGCATACATCATCGTCGGTCTGATGGCCATTGGAAACGAACTCGAAAACCCCTTTGGAAACGATGTCAATGATCTTCCCCTCGATCACTATTGCGCCGAGCTCGCCCGCGATTTCGATATTCTCACATCCGTCAAAGCACCTTCCTGGGATGAAATCGTCTACGGAGAAAGAACGCGTGACGGCAGATACCGACGCAGAATTGATGCGCGAGAATAAAGTTCTCTGGCCACTAAGCAACTCTGGTGTTAGAATGTGGAGAAACAGAGATGAGAAGGAAATCCGTGATGCGTTGGCTGCGAAGGTCGTTGTGGCGGATAGGAAGAGTCGAGATGCGTATACGAGTGCGGGAGAGGGAAGAGCGAGTACGGCGAGAGCCAGGAGTGGGAAGAGTGATTTGAGTGCCGATAGTGCGGATAGTGCTGCTTAGTGATTTTCTTTCTGGTGTGGATGAATGAAAACATTTGAGGAGTGAGTGGGCAAGAGAGATGAATTGTACAGATATATGGAATAGAACAAACAGTCTTGGATGGGATGGGATGGGATGGGATAAATTGTTATTTGGAAAAAAAAAAAAAAAAGTAGATGAAGACAGTTGGGATGAGCGGAGCGGATTGGAGCAAAGCATGTCACGCCTTTTATTTATCTGATGAAAATCAAAAGTCCATGATTGGTACGTACGCGCGAAAGGCAGAAAATGGGTCGTATGTATGTTTGTATGTATGTATGTAGTATTCACGGGCGTTTTTTGGAGGGAGAATAATGGAGTTGGTTGTTGTTGTTGTTGAATGTACCTAGTTTATTGTATTGTATTTTATTTTTATTTCTATGTCATCTCATCTTCTTTCTGAGAAAATTGCATTTTGAAAATCTCGATCCCATTAATAAAATCAGCTCTCCTCCCACTAATAAACTCGGTTATCCACCCATTAGACTCTTCTATCCCTATACAACTTCTTCGCATGTTGCACGACCATGGAGCAAAATCTGTACCTTTCTTGACGACTCCATTCCTCCGAAAACATTTCTGTAATCAGCTTGACCATCGTAAATGGCAATGGAGTTGTGCAAGGCAATGATTCCAGAATCATCGTAATTCAATTGTCTCATGGAACTCATTCTTTTCACCGTACACTCACCGTCTTGGGGTCTCTCTTTTAACATAAATACTTCGGTTAACCATCGTTGGAACTCCAAAGTCGGAATGTGATCATTTTCGAGGCTGTCCCATACTTTAATGGTGATCATGATAGTTGCTTCGGGTCCAGCTAGTGTGGTAATCTGTGCAAGTTGGGTAGTCCAGTGACTTGCAAGGCCTTGACGCAAAGTACCCTATTTTTCAATGTTAGTGTAATCTCTCCAAAATCAAGTCAAACGTAGAGAGATGATGAACATATTGATTGAGTACAGACCAGGGCCTTTGATAGAATCAATGTACATCTTACGAAGACCGTCTTGATCCTCCCTTTGGCTTGTTATTGAAAGTCTTGAGGTTGGATGACCTCAACAAGTACAAATCCTTCGGCTTTTTCTCACGATATAAATTGCATGACTGCATCTACAACAGTATCTGAAAGCCAGCTTCCTTCGGCAAATCTCTGTAGGTCTTCCAATAGAATGGTCAATCCCGGATTCGAGACTTGCCCGCAAAGAAAAACAGATGAAGTTCCAGGGAATTCCTGAAAAAGTTCTTCCATCTTATCACTATCACCGCTGTGTTGTTGGTCCCGGGAATCTTCAAAACCTTCTGGGTGTAGATTTTGGCTATCTAATTCCTCTCAACAAGGCTTCAATGTCGAGATCATTAGATAACTTGACAAGAAAAGGCTCAAATGCTTTGGCTAAGATTTTCAAATTCTTTGCAAAAGCGCTTTTGTGATGAGTGTATCAAAGTACATAGCACATTAAGGCGAGCAACTGACCACTTCTTGAATCCGGTCCTGTTTGTCTCCTCCCTTTTGGAGTTCGGGCATAAAGAATGGATAGAGGAACAAAACTCCTTTACCAAAGGAATCTACCAATTGAGAAATTTTACCGCCAACTCTCTTTTGCTTGCGGCAATCATCGAGAAATAGTTTCTATAATACATCAGTGCTCGTTCTTATATTTACTGACTAGTGACGATGATACTTACCAGATCTTTCTCAGTGCAAGTGGCCAGGTTTCCTTCCGCCCTCGAGAAGTTTATCTTAGCCAACTTCTCGTAGTACATAGCTTTTCGAATGTCAACAGGATGCCCTTTCTTGAGATTCACAGTCGGATCAACCGCCATTCCTGCTTCCTCGACCAAGTTGTGTAACTCAAAGTCACATCTAACTTGTGCAATTTCTGCGCAGATTTTATCTTTCTTTGCACAAGTAGAAATTTGGCTGATGATGATGAGTTTTAGAATGTGCTCCAGTGGGAAATCACTATCTTGGAAAGAAGGTAACACCGCGTCAACATCACCAGTTACGGATTCAGATTTCGCCTTCATGGCTTTGAAGAGGAAGGCTTTAACTGGACAATCAGTCGTAATGTTTCCCAGTTTTGATCCAACAAAGTTAAAAATAAAGCATCGTCGTTGATAGCACGGCCACAGTACTTGCCAATTCTGAAGGTAGCCACACATGAGCGAATGGGAAAGGTCAATACCTTGTGACTCCCAATCCAATTCCTCTTAGATTTGTTCTTGTTAGAAGCTTCATCGGTTAGATCGATCTCCTTACGTGAATTCTTCTTTTCTGAGACTAGCGGTTGCGACTTTAGAGACGATGGCTTCAGGGCAATCTCTTCTCTGGACTGCGCGACTAACGATGGTGGACTTGAAATGTTGTCATCCAGTTTCATGGGTGACGGCTCGCCTCTCGAAGTATACTGATAGGCATCTTGGTCAACTGATGCAACTGGCATATCTGGGACCTGACTTCTTCTATCCGGAGATTTTGAATCATCAAATGATAATGGGATTGGCATAGGATCAGATTTGATTGCGCGTTGACAAGACTGAGTTTCCGGGGTTTGAAGACCTAGGAAATGAGGTAAATCTGCGACAGACGGAAGTATGGCTTTGAGAGTTGACGACTTTGCGAGTAGTAGTGGACTTCCAGATTCGCATCTATTCTGGATTGGTTCGGCATCATTTGCTTGAGAGCCAAGAGGTAAGGATGAGACTGAAGTTGTTCCTGATCTGCGGCGATGGAAGCTGGAAACTACTTGGCAATGTGTGCAAAGAAAATTATCTCTCTGCTTATAGAATAAACCATGGGCGAAATTAGGTTTCCGACAATTTGTGCATTTTTGAAACGAATCAATGATTTCATCATCTTCTTTCTCTGATCCTGAATCAAGGACTTCCACTTCTCCCATTGCTCCCCGTAGCCTTTTGTTTGATCTCTCCATTTTAGCTCCACGAAAATCCGGGGAAACATGCTCTTGGTCATCTGCCCTCTCCAATGGTGTCTCATTGTATTTATCACTCAGAATCCATTTGGGGCCTTGTTCCTCTCCCGAGAGACATAATCCTGCAAATAAAACTTGAAGCTGCTGTCCTTCCAGAGGAGGCATGTCCTTTAATACCTCCTGCGATGTCATCGCTTCCAAAATCGTCGATTCCGAAAATACCAAATGCCAGAAAGTCGCATCTTGCTTCTTGAGGAAGGGTATGAATTCTTTGGCCGTCGGGTTGTTTCTGTTTACGAACTCCGTTACTCTGTTAATGGGAGGCATGGTTTTGTTGTAACTGGTCTGAAATGATGTTGGTTAATGGAAAGAGGATTGTAAAAGACTGCGTCGCAATTGGCTTTCTCCACTAAGTATTTGACTTCTCGGTGAGATCTCAAATCAATTATTGAAACGCGGAGCTTGAATTCTTGCAGTAAGAAAAGCAAGCAGACTTTGATAAATTGGCAGCAAAGGGGTATAGATCGTTCATATAACTGACCTCTTGAGTCGAAATTGACCGCAACCCTCGATTATCTAGCAAAATGAGCTCAAGTATCAAGAAAGAAGGAAGAAAGGCCGTTATAAAGCTCTTATTCAAGGGATTTTGATGGATATCTTGGTGTTGTCGCAAAGAGAAGTAAGTTCTTGGAGTTGTAGAAGGTTTCGAGTTGTCGAGTTGTCGAGTTGTAGCGTTGTAGAATCAGAATAGGTAAAGTGAGAAGATTCTTGTTGATTGAGAACTAAGGAGGATCACTTTCAAAATTGAAAGGTGAACTCACTCTGTCAATCTTCATAGATGATCAGAGAGGGAAGGGGAGGAAGCAACCGAATCTTATTTCGATTTGGGAAGGTGCGATGGAGACTACCATACACAGACTACCTACCATACACATGATGTCCTACAGAGATGAATATCAAATTGACAAGCATTTTTGTGAGTTACAACTACAACCTCCTAGACTCCCAGCTTTATCGTTCTTCTCTTCAATTACACTACGTTATAGATAAATCATGAATTCCCACAGATAACTTTCACCGAATGGAATTGGAAAAGTGGCACCCACCCAGTAAATATGGAAGACGACGGTGAGATACTGCACAACACAACAAATGCATTCAAGAGGAAGAGAATAGGCGAGATGCGTATATACACAAAAGTCCCGATACTATGCCAGAGCTGCATACAGCACACAGAAGGATCAAAAAGTGCAAGTCCCATCTATCTACATACCTCCACGGTATCGAAAAGACTTCGTTCCTACAAATAGAGTATCCAAGAGTCCGAACTACAGTCCCCCAATAAGGACTCATCAAATATCCAACCCATTAGACCAATTAAATCATCTGAGGTATTGAATCCGATTGGGACATTAAACAATCTTCAGATGTTTCAATTGCTTTTAGACGTTCAAATCCCTGAATTGTTGTGCTGCAGTCCAACAATGAAGGTTTATCAAATCTCCAAGCCCATTCAACCAATCAACTATCTGAGATATCAAACTTGATTAGAATAATAAACCATTTTCAGATGATCAATTGCTTTGGGACATTCAAACCCTTATATTGTTGTACTAGACTGTAGTCCGGACGCTGGATACCCTCGCATGCCATCAATCATACTGGACCTTATCTATCTACTAAGAGAGATAAATCTCGTAAGTTTCATTGAAGAAGGATAGTGTTATACTAATTACACCTAGCAGCTATAACATCATACCAAAGCCCCCATTTCTGCAAAGCTAGACCAACAAATCTGTCATCTCTATATGACATAGCCGTCCTGGGGCATAATAAGCCAGGCAGTATATGTAATACATTCAATCCACATAGACAGATTCATATATACGAGCATGATAAGATACCGAGTATAGACAAAACTTATTCGATACAGCAAGTATTTATGCTACACACCCTACTCTGCCAATCCCCAATACACTATATCACAAATATTCAACCGTCCCACCTTTCAATCTATTATTAAATAGGAAATTATAGTAATAAACCCAAATTCCATTTTTAATTATATATATTATTTCTTCATAGATCATTATTTTTTATTTTTCAATTATTATTTTATAAATTCGAAAACTGATTCAGTATAATTTCAAAACATTTAAGCTTATTATTTATTATATCTATTATTTTTCACCTTTCTAAAATTCTAATACTTTAGTATTTCTATACAAATCTAGTTCAATTTATTAAAGTTATAATATTATAACGAATTTCTCAGTCTCTTATTTCTCAAATACTAGCTCACTCTTATATTTCTCCACTTAGATATCGTAACTCCTCAATTCTTTACATTAAATATTTCTCTAGCGATGATTATAGAGATACGACGAGGGGATTGTATACTAGGTATCTATGTAGGGGTATATAAAAAGAAATTCTCTATTAGTTTTAGAAAATCAATTCTCTTATCTCTAATAGAATCACAATATTATTCTTAGATTTTCCATATAGATTTTCATTTTTATATATTTAGATAATATATTTATTTATTTTTTGTCACGGAATTCACCGTATAGTGTAACCCTACGGTATTAATCCTAGTACTCCTCCGGAGTACTCATTCCCATGATTACTAAAACTATTTCACTCAGTCCATTTGTGTACCCTATATACCTAATTAGGCGACTCCATCGCCTGATCAGGGTATATAAACCAGGTATGATCCTTATGATCACACCTCAAGTGAATCTAGTTTATTATCACTCTATATACCTATCTCCTGATCAAAGTGACCATTAGACATAGCTATTACCTCCGTGATATTTTTATATCTCTTGGTATTTAGTAAGTTTAAGTACTCTTTCTCCTCTCTTCTCTTCACTCCTCCCTTCTCCCTCCCTCTAAATAAGTATTATAACAGTACAATCAGAACCCCAAGCCACATCGCACCACATCCCACCCCATCACATCCTATACAGAACGCGTCATGAATTGAGTAACTATATCTTTCCTCTAGAGTCACTTGACCAGCGCTCATTAACCTGAGATTCATTCAGGCAAAATTCCACCCTAGTCTATTCAAACCCTGTTCAACAATTATTGTAAAAGTATCGATTTCGTATATTCTAACCTATCCCAATGCCTAGCTACACACAGCCCCAGTACTCCTAACCCGTATACTCCCCGCAATTCTCCACAATCAAACCTCAATCATCAGCGCCCCCATCGTCACCTCTTCCCGTCAAACCCCCCACCAATCCTAACATTCTCCTTCCCAAGAGATCATCCTCACTAGCCAAACTGACCATACTCTTCTGTCTCTTGAGTCCTCCTCTTAACCTCGTTCTTCCCCTCTCCCCACTCCCAATTTCTTCTCTCAGAAGTTTTTCCTTTCTCCTTCTCTCGCCATGTCCATTCACATCCCCTGACCCTTTGCCCTTTCCACTGATACTCATCCTCATTTCCAGTCCCATATCTTCATCCCCAGAACTTTCTGTTCTAGTCCTCCTATGGTGTCTCTCATTCCCACTTGCTTTCGCGAGTTCTCTCTGTTCTGATTCGTTGAAAATTTCTTGCATCCACTTTCCACATTGGAAGATATATTTCCAACCTTCTGGAAAGATTCCGACGAATTGTAAGAATCCGTGACTGATACCCGGAATCAGCATAACTTCTGCGGCATCTTCTCCTTGACAGCGTCTTAATCGTCCGGCAAAGATAACAGTATCGTCTACTAATGGATCTCGTTCACCAGTGATAAAGTAAGTTTTAGGAAATTGAGCTAGTAATGAATCAGGTGCTAGAATTGGGGATAGAAGATAATCGGTTGAAAAGTCAGGACGGTTGTGAGGACCTATGTAGAGAATGATCATGGCACGCATCATTTCAGGTGTAAGAATACGATCGTTGAAGTATGATATCATAGATGACATGGCAAGACGAGTGCGTAAAGGTGCTGGATGGTGGGATGTTGAAGGAGTCGATGGTTCAATATTCGCCGGAGTTCTCGTTAGAGACGGAGAAAGGATTGTAGGAGCAGCCGTACTATATTGAGGAGAGGGTAGTGAAATTTTAGATGGCTTTCCAGGAGAAAGTTCTGTGGTTTCTTCTCTGCTAGCAGGTGGCGAGGGCAATTTCGGTGGACTTTCATCCTCATCTTCACTTTGATGAGGTGTTCCTGCTGCCAAAGTATATTGCATACTCTTTCTTTGGATGATCCCCTTATTTGTCTTCCTATATTTCTTCTCTTTAATCAAACTCATCTGTTCATCACTCATCCAATTTCCAATGTTCATGTCCAGCCCAGGATAAATGAGAACTAAGCCATCTGGAATCGGAAGTCTTCCTTGTCCCATGAATTGTCGAGCATCTGTTTTCCCAGATTCAATAATCATCAACGTAGTGCTAGCAGCTAGATTTCCACCAGCGCTATCTCCCGTAATGACAACCTTTGGTACTACATCTCCGGATAATCCTACACAACGTCCTCGACTAGCGATTATTGTACAGTAGACATCGTAACATTCGTTCAGTGCATAAGGATATGGAAACTCTGGAGCTTTCTTATAATCCAAACTCAACACTGGCAATCCAGTCTTCCCTGCCCATGCAAATAACTTGTCGTCGTTTGTTCTTGGATCCATTGCCACAAATCCTCCGCCCGGTATATCCAAAACCACCTTTGTATGATTCTTTAAAGCTGATAGTGGCCCATCAAAGAATAACCATCCATTAACTGGTTCTTTGTAATCACTACTCGATGGTCTCGGTATTCGAATCGCCCTAGGTGGATATCTCATGAACCTTGGTCGTAATAGATTCGACAAAAATCCCAGGTATGGAGTTGTTCCTTTATTCCAGCTAACTCTCAGATGGTCCACGGTCAACATTCCTCTAACTTTTCGTACTTTTTCATCGGCTTGCTCGGCAGCAATCAGATAGTAAAACGTGAATACGACACCAGCCAAATCACGTATCCACTTCCGCCTTATACGCATGGCACTCCAAAACCCCGCATCCAAAGCTGTAGTAACCCATGTTGCTCGAAAGTATGATCTCGTGTATAGGTTTGCCAAAGGCTCCGGACATTCCAGTCCAACAAGTTTTCCCAAGTTTCGCGCGATGTAAAGGTAGAGGAGGGTTATGACAAGAGTTTGCCATGGTGTGAGATATCTTTCGAGTAGACGGGATAGTTTTCTAAGTTTTGGTGGACCATCTCTGTTCCCTCTGTAAATTATGATGTTTAGCTAATGATATAGTAGGAGGGTGGCGCAGGAATGTTACTTGAAAAGGTAGAACGACCAGAAAGAAACCACAGCCAAAACTTGTAT